CTCCCTCGGCCCCGCTGGGCCCGGGTCGCAGGGGAACCGCGGCGCCAGCGCACTCGCCGCGCCTCGGGTGTGGTTGGATTTCTCTGCCCACGCGGGGATGGCAGGGCGTTTGGGCGCCCGCAGAGCTGGGCCCCACGTGACCGGCCGCAGGCAAACCCCGACCTGGCGACGCTGGCGCTGGGTTTACCGGGGCCGCCCGGGAACCGTCCTGACCCAGAGAGGGCCACCCCTGCTGTTCTGCGTAATCCAGCTGCACCATCACCGTCCAGGCGCGCAGTGCCCCCACGTGTGCAGCTGGGCCGCAGTTCACCCCTGGGCATCTGCAGGGACCCAGAGAGACGCGTGGTGCCAGCATGAGAAGACCTATTGCTTGCTTTCTGTCTCTGCAAAATACCAACCAGCTCTGTGGAATGTCACGAAGCACATATATGCACGTTTTTGCACATTTTTTCTTTGCCTAATAAAGACGCTTGTGGGGCTGGCAGGTTTGTGGTGGTTAAGGGCTCTGCACTCCCACACGGTCAATCGCAGTTTGAGTCCCGGGCCTGGTGGCTTTCTGGCTTGCGCTCTCTCTCTCTTTCTTTCTCTCTCCACCCCCTTCTTCAAAATGTAAATAAGTAAGTAAAGTAAACAAAAGTCAAGTAAAATAATTCTTTAAAATAAATAAATGAATAAAGACACTCAGCTTGCCTGAGGCGCGGACAGGCACATTGTCTGTGTCCACTGCTACTCTGCCTCTGTCACTTCACTTCCTCTTAGATCATGCTAAGTTCACCAACAAATAATAATCATGCTAATATGTTAAATAAAATAATTATTTAGAAAAACGGTGGGCACATCACCATAATAACCCTGGGAGCTTCGCCCACACTGCACATGGTTTCAACACTTGGACACCTTTTCTGCTTTACCAGATTCCTCCGGATACTTGAGCCTGTGGGTCTCAAACCCCTGTCAGCATCGGAAGAACCTGAGGGACTTGCTGGCTCAGTAGGTTCTGCGGGCTGATGCAGGTGACACCAAAACTTGGAGTCTGAGAGCCACAGAAAAACGGCTCTGCTTGAGCACGCCCGCTCGCCTGCAGTCCCCGCGGGGCCTTCCCAGCTGTCTCCGTCCCGGGCATTCTGAAGGTCCACTCGGGTTCGGCATCTTCCTGCTGTGGTCTTCTCAGTCTGCTCATACATACTGACTTCGTTAGCTCTGCAGGTAAAAACACTGATGGGGACTACATGTAATCCCTACGGCATACGAAATGGTTTTTCCCAGCATGAATACAGTGCCTATCAGCCAAGTTAACGGTTTTTTAACACTTTGTTGTTAAATGTTTCTCCCCTGATCTTTCTCCCACCCCTCATTACCCACTCCCTGCTACTGTCTCTAGTATCTAGTTGGCTATACGTGATCTTGGATTATAGTTTACATAATTTTACCTTTCCTACTGAATTAGAAATCATGAGGACTGGGCTGGCAGGTGGTGTGGTTAGAGGTGCTGGATTTCCACTGTGGCCGACGGCGGTTCGAGTCCCAGACCTGGCAGCTTGCTTTCTCCCTTTCCTTTTTTCTCTGTCTCTCTCTGGTCAAAAAAATAATAAGAGGAATTAAACAAGTAATACTTAAAAAAAAAAAAGTCATAAGGATGAAGCCTATAATGATATCTACAAATGGTATATGAGTTAACAAATCATACCTGCTTTGGTCAAAATCCTAGCAAATACTTTCAACAGCCATAGACTGACAATAAACATAATACCCACAAATCGAGGGAGTAAGAAGCTGCATACCATGCTCATTAGCAATGCAGTATATCTCTAATTCCAAACTTCACTGGCTGCTTTTTTTTTTTTTTTT